CCAGGAGCATGGAACGACGGCCGACATCTTTTGTTCTTTTCCTCGTTCGAGTTTCGTCTACGGCAAATTATTCAAGCTCGATCAAGTGCTCGTTAGTTCGGGCTATGCAAGTTATTCCAAGTTGTTGCTCTCATTGATGACGACGATTGCGGTAGCTCCAGCCCTGAGTGCCCCGGCACACAATCGAAACGTCTGTTGTTCAAGCAAACGGGAAAAGTTTTGATGTTCAGGTGTCCAAACAGAACACACTCACACACGCGGCTACCAACATGAACGAAAGAACGGCCGTACCGACCGACAAACAGGCAGGCAGGCGCACTCTTACCCAAAGTCCATTAACATTAATAAGCGACATGACTTTCAATGTGATTCCGGATGTTCATTCTACAGCAGCAGGGCGGTTCTGCAGCACCGACCAAGCTTCAAATAGGCGTTGTCAGCTCGGAGATAAAGATACACTTGAACGACAAACTACTCCTTCCTCATGCCAAAACCTTCATGTCGGTCTTCTTGTCGCCTTCGATTTCCTCCGAACCCCCCTTTCGGGTTGAGATTCAACAGAAGAGAACTATGAGCGGTTTCGGCCCCCGATGCGTTTGGGATGCTCGAGCGTATCTCGAAATCCTCCCGGAAAACTCGGGGGATTTCGTGGCTACGAAAGGGGTGTCAATTTTCCCGATTGTTCGAACCCCCGAACCAGAGCAGTATCTCGCTGCTAGGACGCGCCCATCGTATGGTTGTTTCCAAAAGAATGCTCACAATCAAATATCGAGACGTCTTAGCGCAGGAGGCGGTTGCGGCAGCAACGCAAATATCCACTATCTTTAGTACAGACGAAAGAACGTTCGTTCGTTCGACTCGCTCGCATTGCAGCGGTTATCGCGCGCGCTCAGGTAGATGACGAGACAACGCATCGGCAACGTCGAATTATAGGTCTCGCCAATACAACAGCTATTCATTCGCTATCGATTCCGAACGATCGACGTGGATGACTAGAGCGAGCGCGGGCGCCAACTCTAGGACAGAAGCGGAAGAAAAATAAAAACAATAAACTCACCGGTATGCACCCGGATGTGTGCTTCCAGAGCGGTTGTGCCAGATGCCTGGTATCCACAAATGGTGCAAATTTTCCCCCCTCGGCGAATCGGTGTCGGAGGTGTCGAAGACGTGGGCTCCTGGTGGGCCTGCTGAGCGGCCAACGAGAAGAGCGACAACGCTTGCAGCTGAGCCATCTTGTTGACGAGTCCTTTTCGTAGCAGACTTGCGGTGTCCAGGCTCGAAGCTACCGAGTTGTTTCAGAAGTTAGGAAAGTTTCTTCCAACGTAAGCCGCCGAAGTAGTGCACAATCAAAACAAGGCTTCCAGGTGGTGAATGGAGGAGTGGGTAGAGTCTAGAAGAGGTGCGGGAAAGATTGGTGGGTGCAGGGTTTCGGGATTCGGTGGAGTCATAGACGGTGGATCGAAGGGCGCATTCGTGACACATTCGTGGTAAAGAAAAAAAGAATCAATTAGAAACATGAAAATCATCAATGTTCACAACGGTTGCCGAACACTACTGTATGCCGACGGAGCGCTCCTACATACAGCGAGAATGTCAACATCATTGGAGCACACACTGTCGTACATGGGATCGGCTCGAATACCGTCCGTACAGAGAGCATCGCAAATCTATACAAGGGAATCTCGTGCGACAACGATGATGTGGACATGCTCGGTGTGGGAGGCTTGTCGAAAGAGGAAACAAAAAGAAGCAAAATAAGAAACAATTTATTCGACAAAGACGTGCTCCGAACCCGATCGATCGATATGACGAGATACTAGGGTACGAACGAAACCGCAAGGCTCGTGTCGAGGGGCGAAGGGATGGATGGGGGAATAATAGTTTCTGCGTGGCTTCGGCGTTCGTCGCAGGTTTGAACGCATGTACAAAACTAAAATATCCAATGATAGGAACTAGAGAGCCGACATCGGATCGCTTTCACACTCTCCGTCTCACTAGCAGGGAAAAGCAATCTTTTAAACAGAACTGTTATTGGATCGGTCTGAAAAGAAAGTCTTCGTTAGAATTTGTTTGTTCTCCCTCGGTTGATGACAAAAATGATCTTGATCTATCTGAATCAATGCACCGGGATGTGGATAACCCGGCCGGGAATGCTCAAAGGTGCAAAATGGCATAAGAGGTGGAGAGAGGGTTAAAGGGAGGAACCTGAGGAAATCCCGGATTTCGTTCGGATTTCGAGTCAATGATTCGTGTACGTTGGGAGCTTCTGTGTCTAAGACCAACAAAGATTCGAACGTGTTGTGCCTGACAGATATCGTCAAGATTTATTCAAAGTATCCTCTCTGGCTGGACCCGCTTAGTGCTCAGGTCATCTGTCCAAGATCTCCGTAGCCTTCCGCAAGGCAACCCATGTACATAAGTAAGAATGCATACATACACACATACATCCGTCCATCCATTCGCTCATTCCTACATCTCACATTTATAACTCGATCACACCGTGTCGATGAATCAAACTTTCCTGTATCAAGTCATCTATAAGGTGTACCCAAGCGATTTTCATCGAGCTCACTCAGCTAAAGATACCCCTCCCGCAGACTCTCCAAATTCCGACAGATTCTTTCATTGTTCGATTACTCAGGTAATTCCACCATGATAGATGTACGGATCTATCTAGCGGGACATGTACTTCTTCCGTAATCCTTCGTAAGCGACCACTTCGGTCACAGCCTTGTCACTCACACACGACAGGAACCTGTATGAATAATCCTCAGCACTTTCTACGATCCCTCGAAGAATATTAATTCTCCACGCACAATCACAGTTTTCACTGAAAGTTCTCACAATGATGCGGAAGGGCGGCACTACGTTACGTCGCGTCTACCAAGCCCCGCGACATGCGGAGCACGGGCGGGCACGCATGCATGACCGCCCGCCCGCCTGCCCGCACTCCCGCACCCGGGTGGTCCTCGGGAGAATTTTGTTCTGTGTATCTTCTCCTCGAGGCATTCCCCCGCCGTATGCGCTCGCCGCTTCTGCACCAGTCGACGTCGTCGTCATCGAGAGCGACTCGTTTCCAGTGTCTCGCTCTCTCTCGTTCGCTCGAGTTTCGATACTTTCCGACGAACGTCTCAGCTAGGCAATGCCGTCCCCAGCGCCTTCCCACAGAGGGTCCTGGCTGACTGACTGAGAACAACATCACCAACACCACCACACCCTGTTTGTTACATTTTATCCATCTACGACACCTTCCACCGCGGTCGGAAATCCTCAGATCACTGGAGCTCACATAGCCATCACGAACTTCACTATGGGATCGGTGTTCCGATCGATGTTCGATCTAGCCCGTATCCTGAAGTCGCTCCGGGTTTTCCAGAATCCCGGAGAAACCTACTGGCGTTGCTCACACACTGCTGACACAGCACTCGATTTTCTCTCTGGAGTAAATCCAGAGCGCGGTTTCGTGAGCCGAGAGACATCCGACGCAACGAGACTACGGAGCGAACTCCTGAACACTGGAGGGAGTTACTGCATTGAACGAAAGACGACGACGGCGACGACGAGCAACAGGCTTGGCTACGAACGAACCGACAGACATCCATCCGGGCACAGAGCTAGCTCGCACATGGCAGCTCGACGGCGCCAGCCTAGCGCGCAGCGAGCCGACAGACGGTGGTGGCTTGGCAGCAGAAGCACAACGCTAACACCGACGACGACGACGACGACTACCACCACCACCGCCGCCACTAAACAGCAGCCGCGCCACAAGGAGAGGGATTCCAGCGGCAGCCGCCTCAGCGGCCACCAGCGTCTGCTCGTCGCTGTCGTTGTCGTCGTCGTCGTCATTTCGTCCGTTCGTTTTCCAGTGTTGACGCCGACGCGCCGTCGCGGCCTATACATTGTCCTCAGGCCGACGGAGTACACCGACATGTGGCCGGTTCATGCGGGGCCAAGTACTGACGTCGCCCAAGGGCAATGAGGATGGAGAAGGACTTCTTCCACGCTTTTGCGTCGGTGTCGCACAGGCTCGACACCGGTAGCGCATGAACTTGTGGTTTCAGGACCCCATGGGTGGGGAAGAGGGAGAATCATCAATTTCTCGGGGTCGATGCCGAAGGGAAACACACAGGGCGGGTCCGCGGGAGCTAAGATCGGGGAACTATTCGTCCATCGAGGGGAACACGACTAGACTTTCCAGCTGAGGATCCGGATCCTCATCGATCTACAAGCTTACTTGGAATCCGCAGGCGGCTCGGAGTATCTCCGTGAGGCCAACGCATGACGCCCACCGGTGGTGTCGGGCCCCGCAAGCCCACGGAGAGCGGTACGTTGGAGTGGAGACAAAAAACACGCGTATATCAGGAGTTTCAATGTCCCACATGGATAAGGTTTACTGAGGAATGCGGAACCCAATAATGAAACCAACAATGTTCGATGACGAGCTCCCTATGCCGAAGAATATGTGCGACCCAGGAGGCTTCTGGGAATTTAGTCGCTTGATCTTATTAAATAGACGGGCTGACCGGTTAAAACGAAGCAAACAGACAGATAAGATTCGGGAAAGATCCGAGCTTCGTTGTGCAATGGTTCTCTTGCTGGAAAATGAAATTCATCGTTCGCCATAAAAGTTGTTCGACCAACCTCTTCTAAACATGACAATGATAACAACACTCGCTCTTCTGGAGCTCTCGGCCGAATTTCGCTCTCAGCCAGCACCGCTGTGTACATGAAAATCGAGAAGAGACATCAGCTGATCTTATTTCAGCGGAGCTTGAGTTCGACTCGTGGAGGTTGAAACATCCAACGGAGTGAAACGCTACAGAGCTAAATCCCCCAATCGATCCGTCGGAGAATGTTTCGCGATCGGGAGTACATATCCGAGAAGCTGGAAGATTCCGAGTTCCTGCCGAGTGGCTCATCGCAAAATCCGATGAGAGCGAGAGAACGCCCCAAGGACAGATGAGGAGTGTAAGACAAATGTCACGACCGGCCGTCAGGAGCCCGTCGCACAATGGATGATGATGATGATGAGGATAATGTGACAACCATTTTCGAGATTAGTTCTTCGTTCGACAAGTTTCGATATCGGCTGTATTCCGCATGTACAACAACGGCACCCCTTGAGCGTGAGATGTCTGTCTTCCTTACGCGCACGGTGGCTTTGAATCACGTTTCATCCGAAGATTCTCATCATCTTGAGTGTTTATTCCTTGAGAGCCTCCCCGCTTCTGAAGATGTGGAGGCGTAGAGTTGAGGTCGACCTCATTGTCATCGTGAATGAATTCTTCCTCGCTTCCATAATAGTTATCTGAGCGATCAGGCAGATCGTAACTGGATGAAAATAGTTTCTTTGGGGAAAAGTCCAACTTCGTTCAATGTCAATGTCGAATCGATTTCTGAGAGATTCCTCCGAGGGTAATTCGTGACGAGCTCGTGACTCGTCTCCGAGAAACCGTTCTCGTGAGCGAAGAGAATCAATGCCCGAATTTTCGAAGACGACGGGAACGAGTGGACTTTCCTCTCACCGTCCGGATAGCGGAACATGAGCTCCGACTTTGGGTCCGAATCGGGGCCGAGGTACTTCGTGTAACTGTCCTTCAGCTGTTGAGCTTGCTGCTCCTGCTCCTGCAGCTGCTGCTGTTGTGCTTCTGATTCCGCCAGCGAAGCCGCGATGGCTGCCTTCATTTGTTCGTCCTCGTCCATCGAGAGGGTGCCGTTGCTCTTGGATTTTTCGGTGGTGGCGCCGGCTCGTCCCGAGACGGATCCGGGGACGGCTGGTAACTCAGGAAATCGGTGACGCGCTCAGCGAACGTGCAAGCATCCAGTTTCGACCAAACGATCATACGCTCTCCGGTCCGCGGGTCGATGATCGCGACGTGCGGATACGAATCGATCGGATAGAAGCGATTGTAGTTTATGTAGTCATCGGATTTGTGATACACTTGCCAAAATATGAAGCTGTCTCTAACTATGTCCTTCACGGCTTCGCTGCTCCACACGTCGCGGTTCAATGTTTGGCACTGGAAGTTCTCAGGGTTCACGACGTTCACAAGGATCCATTTGTTGAGTTCACGTCCTTCCTCGCGAGCAGCCTCGAGAGATCCTTTGAACATCAAGTCTAGAGGCGGTCTGAAGAGATCTTCTAACGTCGGTGCTTTCCTATCAGCTGCGGTCAAATTGGCCAGGCCGTCACCTCGTTCCATTTCCTCTTCTTGACGTTGAGCTTCCCTGCCGAGGTCTCTGAACGGATCGACGAGGTTCGAGCGATTGGCGAAGCCACGGCTGGTGATATTCCTCGCACCTGAGCCTCCGGGAACGTTGAACATATCGTACAATGACGTATCGACGAGAACTTCTTGTTTAGGCGCTCGGGGCGGTCTAACGTAGTCGCCTCCGTTCGAACTGCCGGGCCCCGGGTCGCGTTGTAACGGCGGGCTCGGCGGGGGTACGGCGGCGGGATTCTGATCCGGTGCGATGTCGAACCCACCCCCGTCGACATGCATGTTGACTGCTTTCTGAAGATCACCATCGCAAACCTGGAGCATTTGTGTCGCGAGCTTGTCATCGGCTCCGGTGATTTCTTTGAATTCCTCGACTTCCTTGGCGTATGTCTCTCGCGAGAACGGCATCGCCATCGTGACTGAGCTACTGATCTCGCTGTCGAGAGGCTCCAGTCACAGAAGTTCTTCGCTCGATGGACACACTGGCAATTAAACGAAACAGCGAGCTTCACACCAGCAATCAGCAGTTCAACAGCATCACTCGAAGCAGTAGCGGCGGCAGCGGCGGCGTTTGTTTAGAGCTTCGAAACAGATCCTGCTCCAACGGTGTAGCTCGTCAAGGGAAGGCCTTTAGGGTGGCGATCGGGAGATCGGTACAAACGCTGGGTCGGTGCGCGAGATTAGCTAGAGATTCCGATACGAGTGGAAACTCGAGTATCGAATCCAGCGGCGACACTCGATAACTTGCCACTAGTTCCCAATGGGAGACTACTCGTGAGAAATCCGTGAGCTACACAATCTGGGGGGGGGGGGGCACAAGTTGGTCTAGATCCGACGGGAGTTCAACGGGTTCAGTGATTGCGCTACCTCGTGATTTCGGAGCCTAGGACCGATTCGGGCAGTCCCTTTTTCCGAATGAGCCGTGAAATGAGCGTTTTCACTTCGCCGCTTTGTGAGAGAGCTGCTCTCGGATTTGATGAGACGCCTAATGATTTGGGAACCCCTGAGCCGGCTTCATTCAGTCGCCCAGATGAGAGGGCTGAAAAACAACCGAGGAATTCCAAGGGGGTTAATTTTCTGCAGATTGGGCATAAAGCAGCGCTACCGAGTGCCGACTCGAGAGAATGAGTGGGGCAATCATGGACCCCGCAGAAAATCAGGTTGGGCGCGCCCCTCTCACCCGGTCTTCGCATGCGAACTCGGGGCTCTGAAATTGTTTGGATCAAACGTTCTTAAGAATAATCCATTGGATTATCCAAGCGAGGATCACTGAATTTGGTCGAAAGTTAAGGAGCGAGTACTCAAACAGCTAACGGCCCGCCACTCATTCAGTACAAGCCTTGGACCAGCCCACGGGGGGCAGCTGTTTTTCGAGTCATTTTGCTTTGCTGCCTGTGATGAGTGAAACTCTAGATGCTCGATCTCATGCGCGGCGGGTCTCGCGCTGGTTCTAGAACTCGATCCTTTCCACTGCGTCGAGTCACCCGAGTCTAAAAGACAAACGTGTGCGGCACGACCAAGTGAGACTTCGCAGGTCGCAAGTAGGTGAAAACTGAAAGGCGTCGCGCGTCGTCATGTTTTTTATTCGATCGGGGATCGGGGGACCTTCGTCGAGATAGTCTCATTCTATTCTGACCATATTCTGCTCGGAGTGCCGTTTTCCCATGAGCTCAGCCTCGACGCGCCCGTCCCCATGGTGATCAGGACGGCAGTCCCGTGTCGATCCTGTTCGGACTGAGATATGGGCGTCAGCGCTAATCGGAGAACGCACTAGTTCCCACAATGAGGTGTCTTCTTGCGATCGTCTTCGAGCACCGATACCGATCAGAACCGAGCTGGCGTCCGCTTAAACCGATGCGACGATACTCTAAGTCTCATACGTAGAGTTAGGTTTGCCGAACAAGCTTCGGGGGAACCTTCCGCATCATGCAGCTCGCCCCGCGTGATGCCTGGGATCCGCAATACGGCTCTAGTCGAGAAATCAGTTGAGCACATCCCACATCAAATATCTGATGTTTTGGGCTGGTCGTGAGATCATTCTGAGAAATACGAAAACAATAAATCGAATGAGCATGTATTCAATTCCAGATAAGACTCGCCCGGAGGATTCCTCCGTCGCCTCCGTTCAGAGCCCGAGCTAGCTTTGCTTCGAAAGCCTGATCTGGCGTTGAAATGTATATTCTCGTGAGAGAAGCAGCTGAGAACGGTGAGAGATTCAGCATCCACGATTTGCGCGCGGACAGAGGCGTTGAGTGCGGAGTGGATTTCTCGAAGCTTAGCAGCAAAGATCTCGCGATTCGAGAGAATCGCCTCTTTGCTTTCGACCTGGAAACGCGAACGATGAAGGTGTTCGACATTGAAACGGGATCACTACAAGAGAAAGTGCCATTGAGAAATCTGCTCGGCATCACGGTGTCCGACGGCAAGATCTATGCGTGGAACATCGAAGCTGAGGTCTTCCTGATCGAGTACGGCGACAACGGCATGAGGGCGGAGAAAAAAGCAACATCTCCGAAGGATATCAACTTCATGAAGGTGATCCGAGACGAGGAGGATACGTTCACCGTGGCGATAGAGACTTTCAATAATGAAGTGTGCTTATTGAGGAATGTCCGAGGCACCACCAAGATCAGAGTGCTGAAATCGCGCAGGCATAGACTCATCGGAGCTTCTAAAAAACATCTGTATCTCTTCGCAGAGGACTCGGATGACGTCATAGACTACCATAACGATGAGTTCGTAACTTTTTTCAATACGGGCTCCGACTCGGATTTCTTGTGGTGGAGATCCCGTGTCTGCGGCGGGAGGCTGTACGCGTTATACAGAGAGTTTCAACTCGATTATTGTGGCACGATGCGAGACAGCTCCGATGAAAGTCGATCCGAAGGCGAGAGCGAGCCACGAGCGCTCTGGAAATTGGAGATTATCGAAACGGAGACCGGACTTCGACAAATCATCAATTTGGGCATCGCGCTCGACATCTGGCACATTTGCGCACTCGATGCTTGTTGACTTCATCTCGGAGTTAAACACCTGCTGGTATCGGTTAGATCGTACAGCATGATTTTCCTGCGATGATTGAAACCCGCGATATTGGAGAATCCATTATAGGTGTATGGGGGATCGAGCCTCGACACTGAGAGATCCTAATATACTGAATGGTCATCTGGAACCGGGTCGGCTCCATGCGACCGTCACCGTGCTGCCGATTCCGGACCCACTCCGGGAGGGCTTACTTAGTATACGGCGGATTGTCCTCTCGCAGACTCCTTCGGATCTACCGGCAGCTGTTTGTCAAATTGATAAATGATACCAAGGTATTTCCCTCGAACCTACTGCCTGCTCTGTGCTGCCGGCATGTTCGTAATCTCGACCCTCGAAGCCTAGCCAGGAGCGTTCGGAATCATTCCATGCCGTGCCTGGATCTCACAGCAATGGTTTCTCCATCGACAGATTTCTTGTGGCTCGTTATATGTGAGAAATATATTGTGAGAGAGCTCAAAACCAGAAGCGAATTTTGAATATTCGGCTAATTCCGCGATGCCGGGGTCTCCAAAGAAGAAATGAACCGATGTTCCCCAGGAGTTTGTGGAGAACGCAGCCGACCGCCAGACTCGCGGTGTACCCGCACGCGGGGATAGTCGGCATGGTCAATGGAAATCCGTGCGAGAGGAACGGGCCGCGTTGGAGCCTTGGCGATTCGGTGAAAATAGAGCTCTGATTTAGGGGAGAATTCACCTGTCCCTCGCCGCAGGAGGAAGAGAACTCCTTTGCTCCGATTACGCTTTCCCGCGGTGTGTCGAAATTTTGGCGCCTACTCGGAATTCGCCGCTCGAGGCTGTGGCACAGGCGACATCACATCGAAATTCCGGACTAGAATGAAGCGTAGAACGAGATTCTCGCGGACTCCCGGCTTTTCCTAGCAGGCTCGAGTTCCCCGCTTATCCTGAACGTGAGCGGGATACGCGGAAGCGTCGCGGAGTTTTTATACCTCACCATCAACCGCGAGGTCGCGGCTCGTCTGGCCAACAATGACGACAAAAGCTTCCTCCCTCGCACTCAGCGACGCAGATCATTATACATATTCCCAACTTGGGTCTCGATCCGGCAAGCGTTCTCGGGAGAAACAAATATTAATGATCACATATCGTATCAAAGTTATTCGGATAGCCGCGATACGAGGTCGATCAGGAGGTTTGAGAGAGATGCGAGGAGAGGATGCGCGAGGTGACAAACGATCCGCTCGAGAATCTCCCGGCAGGTCGACGGCAAGCGGCGGCTTCCCCCAATGTAGATGGCCCCGGATCAAGACACACGCACGTGGCGTTTCTTGAAAGCTCGACTTGGCATCACCGGGTGGAAGCCTCTCGGGGCATTCTGGACAGGTAGCTCCTAATCCTTCCATTCGGGCTTTTCATCCTTGACTTTCTCTCGATTTGGTTGGAGATTCCGCACCTCCCCCATGAAGCGGAGGAGAGCTTGCATAGTTTCTGAGTTCCTTCTGTGGCACTTTCCGGCGCCGCAGAGATTCCTTCTTGGGCCGGGGAGTTAGTCTACAATTATTGAAGTCTGCTTTCTAGGAGACGTTCTGCTCGCTTATTCATTTGGAGGTGATCAGTAGGAATCGAGGTCGAGAGCTGCGCACTTTTCCTTTGATGACGAACGAATATTGGATACTGAGTCGCGGGTGACCGCCTCAGGGAATCGCAAGGGGATACTGGGGAAGCGACGGCTATTCGTGGCACGTCAATGCGCTCGAACATGATTTCCCTGAATACCCGCTTCCTGTGGAGTCTTGCTCCGCTTCTCGAGAGTGCGTTACTCCGCGAAAACTTCTCTCTCGGTATATGGATTCTGCTAAGTATCAGTCCGAGGAGACAGAGGTTTCTGAAGCCCGCTTCCTCGGTGACGGAGATCGCTCACGATACGCCACAACTGCTTCTCCCTCCAGACAGAGCACCACGCACTCCAGGGAAAGGCAGGGCGCACGTCAAAAACGGAAACTCCCTTCCCACGATTCGTACCGTGCCTCGAATGGCTCGTTCCCGCGGTCGAGGAGACTCTGAGAGTCGAACCAGTGTCGGATGAAGTTGTGAACACCCTCGTAAGGTTCCCTTTCCGTCTTGACGTCCTTTCCACTCAGGAGAACCATGTGCTTCGAACCTCACGCCAGATTCGCTCAAACCGTCACAGGATTGACGTCGTACAAAGCTGAGAGGTGTTCCAGCGCTGCTCCGAGTGCTATTGGAATTAGCGTACCGATGTAGCTATAGTGTGTTCCTGGTCGTTCCTGGTTTGTTTTGTGATTTGATGAACGTTGGTCAAGTGAAGCCGCGTAGACTTTTCCGGATGTGAAATGTGGGGGCTGGCGTTCTTGTTGG